GTACCCCGACAATTTGGTGCAGGTGGTTCTGTCAAACTCACAAATTTCAGAAGTGTTATCTTAAAAGGGCGAATGCGGAAATGATGTACAGTAAACAAAATTTAAGTTTAAAATTCATCTTATTGTCGCGCGCTCACCAAACCGTACACGCGATGTTAGTGACATAGGAACTCCAGTGATGCCAGTTAAACATTTCGCTTTGATTCTCAGTAGTATACACAATACAGTATCAGTTTATGAAACTTTTGTTTTGTGTGTACCGTATATGAGCAGTACAGAACCAAAAGCTTAAGCATATGATTTGTAAAAGAAAATAGATGATTGTAATCGAATTAATGGGAAAAAATGAGAATTGAACAAGGATACTTCGGTGATAGCATCGGTGTTTTCAACGCTATTGCTATTATCGTCGATGATGAACAAAGAAAGCATGGTTTTGCAGCGAGTAAGAGTGTACTAATTATCCGCAGCTAGTACTGCAAAGTGTACAATTTGAGGTACTAACATAAAAGAGTACAACGTTAGTACAATGGTAGTACAACGATTGTTCAACGATAGTACAACGGTGTACTTTGTACGTATGTCGAAGGCCTCTAATGAATTTAAGCTAAATATGTGATATATTGTTCAATTTGTCTAAATTTTAAATATCTTGCTAGAACGGATCTGCGACCATTACTTATGTGCAAAAATCATCAGAGCTCAATTTCAGCTAATATTCTAGAAAATTCTGATTAACAATCACTTCACCTATATGATCACTACATTTTTCAGTGTTCTTCATGGTATTTGTAGTGTCATTGTCAGTATGCCCATAACAGTGTAACTAAATAATATAGCATACAAATGTATGGACTCATCTGCTTCTTGAGGCTTCAAGTTTGGTGAGGAATAACGTTAATGATACGGACGGATGTAACATAAGATAATCACTTTAATTTATTCATTTTAGAAGCCCACTATATTTTTTGTGAGACCCTTATTTGATTTATCAAGATATTGCGATGGTTGTTTACTGCATCCTGCATACATGCTCATTAGGATTCTATTTTCAAGCCGTTCGTAATATCTTCCAACGTTGAAATATTTGTGGTGATTATTGAGTATTTTCAACTTAATTTTCGAAGTCTTGCATGTCAGAAGAATACACAAGAACACAAGAATATAGAAACACGGGAAAGTAAACTTTTGTTTATTCATATGACAAGCCTTTACCGCACCACTATGATCAACAAAAGAAATCTGTAGGCTGATTATATTCAAGACGAAAATAAAATAGAAGACAGGAAAGTATTGTTCTTGCCATTTGATTATATAAGAAAATGAACCTCCATCAATCGGTTTCAATTTGTTTGGATTATTTCATTTCACCAATAATAAACTCGCTCTAATCATATAGCATTCTTGCCTGTTGTTTGACATTCACACATGGAGCTACAGCTTACAAAAAGTTGGATTTCCATAGAGAAATGCCATTGCGGCGGTGAAGGACAATCCCTTTGTTTATGCTGTGTGGCGACATCTACTATTTGCAAGTGGGTACGTGAAACTAATGTTATCTGTCACCTTGCCGGGGACTTGGTACCACCTCTGATAGCATTGACTATGTTTCCACCTCATTTGTCAGCTAAGATCAGCAAATGACGTTCGATAGAATTATTTACATCATCGTTTTGGATGATATGCCTTATACCAATACCATATGCATTTCAATTTGGGATGATAATTATTCTACAGAGAGCATTACATATTTCAACAGAGGTCCGTTCGCTTCTCTAATCAATGAAATGTATGATGTAAATGTAAAAAACTACCCTACCGTCATCCGGTTGCAGTTATCATTTGAAGAAGCGATTTTGATGTTCCGATTTCTGTGGTTTCATTCGAATAGAGAATGATGTGGTTTCATTCGAATAGAGAATGATGTTTTGGTACAGTGTACCCGAGCAAAGTCCAGCATCAAAATGACAGCTAATTGAAATCAAGTTTTGATATGAACATCAAACTGAAATCATAATTTGATTTCAGTTTACGCAATTGACAAATTGATACCTAATTTTGTTTTCATTTTGCTGTACATTTGCTCTTCAAAAATATGTTGTTATGGATTTGTTTTCATTGCCTTAGCATACCATGAAATTGAATACTTGTTTTATTATCAACAGGAAAAATGGATATCAAATTTAGTTTTCAGTTTGCTCTCACTGATAGCAGAAATAGTTTTCAATGTGATGTCACAGAAAGATTTGTTTGCTCTCAATTTTGATATTTTAACCGTTAAAACGACCAAAACGACAGCAACCTGAGTAATCATTATCAGCGAAATCACAACATCAAATTTAGATTTCAATTTGATCTCAGACTTTGCTCGGGTAGTGGTCATGAACTTGAACTCCCTCCCCATGGACATGGAGGTTGACGGTACTGAAGCAAAGGGTTATGTTTAATTTCTTTATATTTGCAACGATGATGATTTCCTATAGTGACACATATCACCTTCTTAATGCTTCAGTATGCCTCAAACGATTAATTCTTGGTTGTTAATAGAACTTCCTTGATGAAATCGGCTGCTTCATGCAGACTGAGCAATTCTGATTATAGTATCAGATTTGTTCTGTATACAGAGGAACTGGGAGGGCTTATTAGAAACTTCTCACCAATAAAGTAATGATCTTCTATTAAATTTTGCATATCATTTTATTAATATTTTATTTTATTGAAGCATATTATTTTTTTACAGTCAATCAGCTTTAGCATACGATACAAGAGATTTAATATTGCTTGCTCGTTTTTGCGTTAAATAATCAATATTTATTTTACTTGTAATTACCTTTGAAAGTTTTTTTTTTTCAAGTTTTTTTTGTGATCTGAAAATTTTCCCAGTTTGGTTAGAAGTTTCGAAGCTAACGCATGTCCACAGGCCCAATAGAAAGATAGGCAGAAAAAATGTATCATGAAGAATAGTTGCATGCACTTGCTATAGATGAGTGATTTTCGGAGTTTTGAATTCGTTAGATGTTGTAATGGAGATTTGTGCTGTTGGATGCGTGAGGAGATTGGAGGGCGGGTGTTTGATGCATAGAGCCTGTCAATTTCGCTTTCAGAGTGTCGCAGTCAGCGGTTTTATGATTCGTGAGCGCTCGCGATTCGTAGAATCGTTGATTGTGACTGCCAGTGGATTTGACGGGTTTTGTGTGTCGGACGCTTGCTTGTTGGCCTCTTATTGTGTCTAACATGTGCAGAGTATCATTATAACGTCTAATGGTTTTGATATTCCTGGTGGCGTGAAATATATTTGTGAGAATATTTTTTTGAGATTTTAGCAGTCACGTTTTGTTTGTAGTTTATATTTTATTTATTTTATGTAATTATCGTAAATAATAGTTATTCAATAATAGATAGTTCATCCATATATTCGTACTTTGACGCGAAGTGCTGTGGATTATAAGATGCTTGATGACCCTCGAGGGATCGATTTTGCTTACTGAGCAGAAAATCATGGATTTAACCCCATGCTCTTCCACAGCACAATAAATCGCCACCATAATTTGTATATTTGATATTGAACATTAACCTCGGAAACTATTTGCATATCAAGCGAAAACGTAGTCCTGTATTGTCGCGAAGCGTTATGGTTCTGAGATGCTCGATGACCCTGGAGGGATCGTTTTTGCTTACTGAGCAGAAGATCATGGGTTTAATCCCAAGCTCTCCGTCATGACTCTTAAAATTCATGATCACTAAACGAAATGAATATGTTCTTTCGATAGCCGGCTATCGAGAGATTAAATAAACAACAAATAAACAATACATACTTTTGGTTGCATCGCCAACTTGAGGTGAATCCTAACCGAATACCCTTCCCAACCCTCCAACTCCGTAGCACTTATGAGGGTGTCGCTAAGTCGGTGGCCTCTCGTTAAGTAAGTACTACATCAACATTTCCTTCCCTATCCCTAGTTATGGTAAAGATGGGCGTCGCCGGGAATAGCGACAGTCATGCTTCTGTTACTCTTGTTTAGATTGGAACCAATGTTTACTCCTCAGCATTATTCCTGAAAGTAGTCTAACTGAGAATTTCAGAAGAGACGTGAGTGTCGCTAGTATCCAATCTACGAAGTATATCATAACAACGCTAACGCTAACGCTAACGCTAACGCTAACGCTAACGCTAACGCTAACGCTAACGCTATTGTATGGGTAGCTGTCATAATTATTTTGTTCGCCACGATGGTGATGATGGTTTTTTTTAAATGGGATTTAATAGTTATAAAAAAAGAAGTAATTTACGGATATAAAGGACTCAATTTAGCATTTGATAAACTAAAACAAAAATGGAACATTGAAGCTTATTTGGAAGCAGTATTATGATAGCACCAGATTGCGAGGTTGCTAGTATATTAGAATGCTTTGTTGATTATTCATGAACTCTTGATCGCTTGATTTTGAATATTTGAGGTGGACAAAAGGGTAAACAAAGAGGTGAACGCCTAAGCTTTTCCACATTTATATCACTGTGAGACAACTGAAAATTGTTGAGGGAATTTATATCCGTAACTGTAATCAGTTCGTTTTTGTTTGCTAATCTGGTTGAATGTTATACTTAATTATCTTAAAGGTAAATCGTACAGGGTAAGCGGGGGGACCATCATCATGGACAAAAAATGTGAAATGGCCGATCTGAAGAATCTTGAATCACCAGGAGATAACTTTTGTTGATAAATCGAAATTCCATCCATCAGACTATACATATAGCGACTATATTCACTATTTGTGGGACACTTACCACGCAATTTGGAACCGTTTGTGCTGCGTTGACGTTAAGTTGAAAAATAACGCAAATGAGCAGTTCCAGGCAACATAGCGAAAACAAAATTGAATTTTTGAATCGACCTTCTCCGATTAACATCGACTATGGTATTGGTGTATACGGGCTGTGAATGAAGGGAAGTTCAACATAATATGCTTTCTCAGACTTTATTTCATACATTTTGTTCCATACATCTTTCACATAAATTTATCTGAACCAGCAGCCTGGTTACAATCTCGCTAAGTAATTTTGATATTTACTAATTTTGCTTGCTTTAGTTTTGGCGGGTTTTGAAATGCAACTATGATGTTGATGTATTTTTGTTGCTGTCCTGACTGTGTATAAAAACTTAAAATTCGTCACTAAATTTTTAGAGCTTACATGTACTGCTAGGACTAAGAAATAGATCACAAATATGGTAAGTACATAAACTTTCGTAGGATGATCTAACATGCGTTTCATTTAGACAGATTTTGGTATATGTTTTGTGCACATTCAATATTTTTCTTCTTCCGGTCTCAACTTTCTTGCGTGAAGAGAACCACTTATTGCCTTTTTAGTTTAGCATTCCTGTGTTCCGGTGCCCTAAATAATCCTGTTGATTAGGTACTTGTTATGTGGGTTTTGCTACATGTTCTACATATGTCGGTTCTACTTTCGATGGAGTAAATATCAATTGATTTGTGTGAGCAAGGGCTGTGTCACGCTGCGTATCTGGTCTTCACCTCCAAGGCTGCGTCGGCCTTTGGAGTTTATCATGTTCTTGGTGCTGCCCGATTTGATGAAGTTGTATGAGACATTATTGAGCTTCTTGTTTGGACCGCCTCCGGCATTGTTCAGACTATACATGTTACTGTTGTTGTTATTATTAAGAATGCCGGTGGGTGGAGCACCATTCAACAGAGCCAACGGTCCACTTTCCGGTGTTGTGCCTTCGGAAAATTTGTTCGATTTGAAGCTAGTATGCAGTGGCACAGACCTCTCGCCATTTAACCAGTATGTTAGCATTTCACCCTTGCCTTTCATCGGCACCAGACCACGCTCCGTCACCTCGAATGAACCGAATGTATCCAGCAGACTTTTCGTGTTGTGACTAATATGAATTTTAAGTGGTTCTCCATTGGACTCCATTCGGGAAGCCGTATTCACAGTATCCCCAAAGAGACAGTAACGAGGCATCTTCAGTCCCACCACACCTGCGACACATGGACCTGAAAGATGGGAAATAGTTTAATTTACTTATGAAACGACAACCATTATCATCAAAACTTACCACTGTGCAAACCTATTCTCAATCTGAGCTGTTCGTTCGGTCGATGACGGATGGAGAACTTGTAAACAGCCGACAGCAGTGCCAGAGCCAGGCGAGAGATTTCTCTAGCGTGTAGATTTCCGTTGCGAACGGGCAATCCGGATACAACCATGTAAGCATCACCGATGGTTTCCACCTGTAAGGAAATTAAATATTAGTTTGCTATTAAACCTGCTATATCCAATATTGAAGACTCGGTATTTGTTTTCTGATCAACTTATTGTTCTGAGTGTAGTCTTACAAAGATTGTCTGTTTATTATCGGTAAGCGCAAGTTTTACACTTTGGACTTGTGAAGAATCATTTCACTTGTAATACATTTGTAAAACGCATGGTAGGTAGTGACGGCCAGTGCCGGACGACGCGCATGAAGCTCGAAATCCTTTGGAGAACAAAAAAGGCCGTCCGGATAGTTGATTTTAATATCAAACTTATTGTTCTGATATGAGTGAGAGGTTATTAATGAGAGGATAACCGTTGCCAGATGTAGAACACGGGTTCAAAACCTACACTGTAATCGCAAAACAGTCCCATATGGATAGAAAGTCTAGCAAAAAATGGGCCCGATAAACATAAAAATTATGAACACATTGCAGAATCTTTTCAGGCCGTGAAACATTGCCAATTCTGCTTGATTTGAATGTCTTTTTACAAAAAAAAATAATAATAATAGAATCATACTTTTCAGGGTTAACAGGGACTTTGGTCGATTTTATTCATCGACTTTCTCTTTTGATAGCCACATATTTGCGCTATTTCTGCCACATAGTTTGATAAAGAAGGTTCTCATCTAGCATCCAGAATGACACACGAATCAAGGAATGTGTTTGCAGCTGAGTTATTAACGAAAGAGAAAGTCGATGAAGAGAATCGATCAAAGTCACTTACACCCCTTTCCTTCTAACCCCCTCAATTGATAAGCCACGTTTCTCTCTTAAATAAGTCGTTAAATATGTTGCCGACAGTCTTCACGGTACAACATGTGTGTAAAGTACACGAATGTTTTGCACTCACTTGTTCTCCGCTTGCTATAAGGTTTTGCACCGTCGGGGTTAATCTCAACCGGATAACAGTTTAGTGGTACTATTTACCTGGACTTAGTCGTTTTTTTCATGGGTAGATTTTCTCGATAATTTTCAGACTGCAGTCCACGAGAAACATCCTATCACTGTGCATTTCCTCGGCATTTTGTCACGCTGCAGAACCTACATTAGGTTTCGAATATGTACAAGCCCATTTGTTCACAAGTTTGTACTGAAGTATGTACACTCAGGTCTTTTTTTACACGGGGAATATGTACTGTGTAAAAAAACCTACGAGATTTTGATTTTTCAAATGCTTAAATGTAATTATAGCACATGCTATGGTGCATATTTACATATTTAAAAAAAACTGTATTCACACCAAAAATTGTGATGTTTTTAAGTATGCCATTCAATTACTTATAGCTTAAAACGGATAATGTGATTGGAATCAAGTCGATAGGTTGTATCGTTATCGAGAAATCGTTAAAAACGTATGATCGATTTTCTCCATTGACTTTCTCTTTTGATAACCACTGCTATGCAAACAGATTTTGCCTTATTTTTACCACATAGTTTGATAAAGGAGGTACTTATCTACTGTCCAAACCGTCAAATACAAAAGGCAAATGTTTTGCAGCTGAGTTCTTAACGAATGAGAAAGTCGATCAAGAGAATCGGTCAATGCAGATAGGACCCTCTTGAAATGTTTATCTAGAATTGTATAATCGTCAATTGAATGTTTAGACAAAAAGCATACAATGAACTTTAAAACACTTGCATGTTTTAGCACCTAAGAAGAAATCACTTTAACTTAAAATAATCATTTCATGCTTCAGAGCCCTCCATATATGCTACTGATACGTCTCTTGTGGAAATCAGCCAGAATCAATCATGATTTATTAGAAAATACAATTAAAACATAAATCCTAACGAAGCAAAATAACATTTGTGAGCACCAACAACAACATTATGTTTTTCATTGAAGCTTAAGAGTGGTTTATTTCGTTACCGATACACGTATAATGCAACGAAGATGCTTGATACACTTTCGACCCCCTCCCTGTTATCTGGTTTGTCAAACATGTATAAAGATGAAAACTTTGCCCATTCGGCACTCACCTTGTAGACGTCAAAGTTTTCCACGATGGAATCGAAACAGGTGTAGAGATCGTTGAGCAGGTCTACCACCTGCATCGGTGTGCTTTGAGCGGAAATGGACGTAAAACCAACAATATCACTAAAATAAATAGTTACTTGATCATAGGTTTCGGCTATCACAGATTTGCCCAATATCAGCTGCGCTGCCACGGACCTATTACCGGTGCGGAATAACAACGAAAGTAAATCAAAATTAAATTAGTTGTAAATTTGCTTCAATACGACCGCAGACTTACCTCGGTAGCAGCTGGTACAGGAGCTCCTCACACTTGCGCTTCTCCTCGAAATAGTCTTGTGTGCGCTCTTCTACCAGTGCCTCTAGGTTATTTGCATACTGTTCCATGCGTTGTAATAAATTATCTAATATATTACCAGATTCGTTTTCTCTGTAGTGTGGTGATAGATTGGTTGGGAGGAGGATAGAATCGAATTACAAACGGAACCTTTGAGGGTGCATAGAGATTCAACTTACTTGTTGATTTTCCTAATAATTGTTTTCAGTAGATTGAAATCTGGGCGATCCAATGGGTCTTCTGCCCAGCATTTGACCATAATGTTGTTGACGTCCTCATACGAGGTTTCGTCCACCTTTGGTCGGAATGGGGGATTGTAACCATCGGGTCCATTTTTGACTAGTTTTATAATTTCTGAAATGAAAGATTTGATTTTTTATCTAGATCCTAGTAGCACGAAATAGTTTGGTTAGCAGTGTTTTGTTTATTTTGAAATGAAAAAAAGTTGTCAAAATTCACAGTGTGATGTTGTAGCTGAAGTTTTGCAATTTTATTGAAATGCCTCATGAAGATGAGGAAGAAAAGGGGCAAAAGAAAACGGTCGTGTACAAAGACCTTGACTTGCGATCCCAACATGATCGACGTCCGAAGCGTGTTGTAATATCAAAATCTCGCTATAAACTATACGATCAACCACAGAGGTCCACATTCTCGATATGTTTGGATAACATAAAGCGAGAACGGCAGTCTATCAGCTTGGCTGATGTACCAACAACAAGTAAAAAATTGGACCGTAGTTTGGAAGACTTTCAACAACCGGGGCCAAGCACCACGACATCCTTTGCACATCCGGATAGTTCGTTGATCCTCACGGGTAAGAGAAGCCTTTACTTCAAAGATGCACTGGTTGAATACAAAAGGCGACGCACGCCAGCGCCAAGACGAATCAAAATTATCAAAGTTTATGGTGAGTGATCCTTACTACGCTCACAAAGACATTATTGAAGAGTACAACTTTTAGCTCCACTCGATTGGGAAGAAGCGCTCGAGGAATCAGTAGAGAAATACAATCTTTCCAAAAATATCAATCATCCTTGGCGGCAACCTCGACTACAATGGCTGCAGCAGTTGGAACAAGAGGATGATAGTCGGCCTAGAAGGGTTCCTCGGGATCATGACGATCTGCCTACGCCATGTTGTCCTCTGTTCATGTATCCCTTTCGCAAACGTAAGAGTCTATAAATTAACACATTTTCACTTACCTTTCGGGGATTTATCATCGTCTCCGATGTAGAACGGCCCCTGTCTTGATACGATCTCCTGGATGATAATGCCGAAAGAATAGACGTCACCCTTTGGAGTACCGGCCAGTTCGTGTTGAGGATCGCGAAGAAGCTCCGGAGAGGTCCACAATAGTTCTGCGGGGAAGTGAACGAAAGTTGTGATACATTTGGAATTTTGATCATTTAGATGTGAATTATATAATGAGTCGCATCAGACTTTGAAGGTTACATGTTTAATTGGTTATTTTAATTTCGTTCTATTTCGTGGTCTCCTGAGTTTTAGGTCTAGATCTAGAAGATACTTATGCCCTAACAAGTCACATTTTCTCGGTACTGCCAAATCTAAGCATATGGCACACACCAAAAAATTCTGAATTTTATTGGCGATGTACATCTATGCATGCAAACATTCATCCATGTAAACTTCCTTTTCACGTAAACAAGCAGCTTGCAAGAAATGTTGCAAACAAAAGTGGACAGTTGCATACAGTATATGGAATATTGCATGAAATGTCTCATAAATTTAAACGATCTATAATGTAAACTTGTATGATATATGACGCTCCATTTATGTGCAAGAACTATTTGAAGAATGCTATACATAGACCATTTTTCAAGAACATTTGAAAACGCTATCTCGATGCTTTACCCTTCATATCGGTGATATTTCTCATATGGTAGTGTCTTTAAAACCGTCGAACACCTCTCAGCTGTAAGCTCGCTGATCTCATATACGTCTGTAGGTATACACGGAGCAGTTGGCCAGAAGTGAATGGTTAATAACTTTTTGCACAGAAGTCATAACGATTGGCGGTCTTGGACAAAATCGTTCTGTTCACTCTTAGTTTAAAATATGGAAAATGTTGAGCAAAGTTTGAGTTTTTTTTACAAGGAAAGTAATATTTTCTTTCCATTACATTTTCTCATCTTTACGTTAAAACTATCCTGCAAATTCAGATAGCATCTAAATTCATTTCAATTTGCTACAGTTGTTGGAGACCACAATCCAATTCCAAAGAGCAGTGCACAGCAAAAAAATAATTTTAATATCACATCAAAGTGGATGCACTACAATCATGTCGAAATTTTCATGTAATTTTTATGACCACATAAATAAACAAATGCAGTAAAAGCAGCGTAATGTCAGTTCATGCATTGTATTAATGATAATTTTGTCCTTTTTAGCAAGTAATATTACACCATATTTTCGACATGATTGTAGTGCATCCACTTTGACGTGATATCAAAATTATTTTTTTGCTGTGTGGAAACAGAGGTACCATTTCACTTGTTAAGAGTCCACGGAGCACCTAGTACTGTACCTAGCCCTACAGGCGTATACGAGATCAGCGAGCATGGAACTTAAAGGGTGTCCACGATGAAATTGCCACACTATGAAATTGCTCTAACTTTTTAACCGTTGGGTAGAATTTAATGAAAATGTGGGTGGATTTAGTTCATAGTGCATTATTTACATCCTGCAAGTTTTAAAGTCCTGTGATCAAAACTCGCGGAAATGGAGTCGAAAGAACAGCTCGTGCGTGATAAAATCTTGCGCATTCATCACGAGAACAAGGATCTCTCGCATCGTTCCATCGCTAAAACGTTGGGAATCGCGAATTCCACGGTGTCGCGAGTGATTAAGCGGTTCGAGGAACGGTTGACCACCGATCGGAAGCCCGGAAGTGAAGGAAAAAGTATTCCGTACAACACCAAAAATCACAACCGCGTAGTTGGGGCCTTCAACCGAAATCCGAACGCCTCCGTTAGGGATGTGGCTAAGAAGCTGCACCTAAGCCGAAGTTTTGTCCAGAAGGCCAAAACTAAGGCTGGGCTTCGAACGTTCAAGGTACAAAAGGCCCCTAATCGCGACGAGAAGCAGAACAAGTCCGCCAAAACCCGTGCCAGGAAGTTGTACCTCAACATGCTGACGAAAGTTGAATGCTGCATCATGGACGACGAAACATATGTGAAGGCCGACTTCAAACAGATCCCCGGCAACCTGTTTTTCACGGCCAAGGATAAGTTCAGCGTTCCGGAGCATGTCCGCACTCAGAAGATGTCCAAATTTGCGAAGAAATTCCTGGTTTGGCAAGCCATCTGCACGTGCGGGAAGCGGAGTGCACCTTTCGTGACCCAGGACACGATGAACGGACAGGTGTACATAAAAGAGTGCCTCCAGATGCGGCTGCTTCCTCTCCTGAAGGCCCACAACGTCCCAACAATCTTCTGGCCGGATTTGGCCTCATGCCACTACTCCAAGGACGTGCTGAAGTGGTATGCGGACAATAAGGTCAATTTCGTGCCGAAAATGTTCAACCCTCTCAACACTCCGGAGCTCCGCCCCATCGAGAAGTACTGGGCGATTATGAAGCAGCACCTTCTTAAACGACCTAAGGTAGTGAAGACAGTCGAGGAACTGAAGAAAGTATGGGTTTACATGCAAAAAACGGTTGATTCACAGGTTGTGCAGAATCTTATGGCCGGGGTTAAGGCCAAGGTGTGGGCATTTGCGTATGGACTGTAAATAAAATACGAGTAAAATGGTAAAATGAAGTTTAATAGTTATTTCTCAATCCCTGAAAATTTGATGGCAATCGGATGAAAACTCGAATTTTGCGAATCAATTTTGTGTGTGGCAATTTCATCGTGGACACCCTTTAGAGGTAATCGACGGTCTGCGATATGTGTAATATCGTTCGGTAAAACATTGAGATAGCGTTTCAACAATGCACAACAATCATCATATCAAGACCAACAATTGAAATGGCCTTAACTCCATTTTGTAAACATACCTTGTAAGGCCATTTTCTCGCGAACAGAAACCTTCATTCGCAAACCTAAACCACAATCGGGTAGAGGAGAATTTCCCCTACCTGTTCATTATGTTAGTTTGCCTTTGCAGACTTCGGTTCGCGAGAAAATGGCCTTACAAGGTTTGTTTACAAAATGGAGTTAAGGCCATTTCAATTGTTGGTCTTGATATCACATCATATCACATATTTGGCCTAACTAGTGAAAAATATTCCAATTGACAAAGTGGCTTTAGCGAGAAAACGTGACGTGTTAGTTTCCTCTAGACTTAAACACAAGAGACCAAAAAGTGAAATATGGTCATGTTTTTCTGTCCTAGATATTCGTGTTATTATTGTATTGAAAAGTTTGGAATTTCGAAAAAAAAGCTCAATGTCTTCCAAATCTCCCTTACTTGATCATTGAGATTCAAAATTGAGCCACAGATAAAAAAAGTAAATTTCTGACACTATGATGCACATAATTGGAGCGTCATATATCATAAAAGTTTACGTTATAGATCGTGTAATGTATGATACATTTCATGAATTATCCCTAATATTGTATACAACCATTCATATTTGTAAGCAATATATTGCAAGTTGCTTATATACATTTTTTATTCAGGTCGAGGCAGATTTCATGTGTGAGTAAGTCACTGGTCATTTTTTAGTACAATTCGCTTTGAAAGGTGCGTTTCATATTGCAACATATGTAGTGCTAAAGAGCCTGTATACAATTTGACACTTCCGAAGATCGCTGGAAGATACGATATGACGCAACATTGATACTATTTGTATTAAGCACAAGTAAATACTTCAAGAAATTAGTTAAAATAACATATTGAAAAATGTGTTAACTTTTAGCCAAAAAATTGAATGTCACATCCGTTGAGCCATTGTGAACAGTCATCCCGTTGTGTTTATATCTCAGTATTGCTAATAATGCATATTTTTTCCGGAGTCAACAAAGTAAAAGTGAATGGAGAGCACAAGAGAGTGATGCTCGTTAAGAAAATACCCGTAAAGGGGCGCTATCTATTCTCCACGCTGGTGTTACAGTTTTATAAGACGCAACTAGGAACTCAAGATCATCATACAAAGATAATGGACTTACGTCGAAATGTTATGGATCACATCAGAAATAACATGGGAGACTTTCGGGAGGCTAGCAGCACTTCTGACTGGGATAGTGAAAGTGAAGATCTATTTCCATAATGCATAGTTAGCTTATAACACAACTTTCTATAAAGGGCGTTATGATCGAAATTTGGTCAAACGTATGAATGAATGCGTGTAAATTGATTTAATTTTTTATTAAAAAAATCAAATTATTTTCCTTTTTAAGTTCAACTAGTATAACATACAGAACACATATTCAGCTAAGCTTCTGGTTGACCGAATCCGAATTGCCGGGCCTTTCGTTAAATTTCTGGCATAAGTCTGTACAGCCACCAAACTGTACGAGTTAGCCGCAGAACGCCAGTTTGCCTTAAACTGTTTCTCACTTCCAACAGTTTTTTTGGGCCTTCTTCAGGTTCCGCTTGACGAAGGCTTAATGTTTTTTGATTGAGCAGAGCTCTGGCGTGTTGGGAGGAAGCAGACGTTTTTCCAGACGTTCACGTAAATTTCCTGGTTGACGGCCTGGTTTTCAATGAAAATGTCGCTTTTAAGCCACAGGTAAGCATGTTTAACCAGATAGTGCTTCTCGAACTTCGACAGTTTCATATGCTTGAAAATGTCTGCCACCTTTCCCCTTCTGGTTTCCGTATGAAACTCCAGCCCACTTTTAACGATTTCACTAACTTTTGACGTAGAACTACTTCTTTGTCGACTATACTGGGGTGCAAATCAAAAAATATGTGTGGTGAAGGAGTGTTAGGTTTTGAACGCTTGTAACTTTGTCATTTATACATGAAATTAAAATCCAATTACGCCAATCGATAGGATATTACATTACGAACCTGTTGAAATAAATATTTTTTTCCAATTTTTCTGTAATTAAACTTTTGAAAATGTACAAATGATAATTTTATCACTGATTTCATGAAATAAGCCTTTTTCCCAAACCCAGTAATAATAAACGAATACCATTTGGTTGCACATCATTCTGCTTGAACCTGAAAAGATATAAATCAGCGCTGCTCTCATGCCTCCGCTCATTACCGCTTCGGACGGCGTGGCACTAGGTCCTGCATCAAACAGGACTAGGTCAGCGGCTAAAGGTGGATCACGGCGTGTCCACCACAATGAGGATTGAGACTTGAAAAAACGTGCATGTAAAACCCCCTCCCGCTTAAAAACAATAACCCGAAAAAGACATGGACTTTGACGATCATTTTT